AACGCCGCACTAACAAATCTATTGACAGGATAGGGAGTTTGTTGCACAAATTCCTCAACCAAATTTCAGTGTATTTTAGTTACATGCCCAACCCCTTATGTACCGTACACTTAAGTAAAGTTTTCCTTCTTCCTTAATTCTATCTGCTTCCTGGGTTTGTCTCTTATGCAAATAATCTGCTATTAGGGTCACCATTTAAGACAAAATGATCTGAATAATGGCATATATTACTCTTTAATATATAAAATAAAATGTAGGACAGGAAGTACAAGTTGTGCTGTGCTTTAGAAGATACAGTAAACACCATTTTAGGGTCTCGTAATCATAATACTAAACAAAAACTTAAATGGCTTTGGCTCACTTTCAGCAAAAAATCATACTTTTAATATATTGAGCTTTTAAAATTTAACCCTTCAGGGAAATTGGACTCAAATAGTGGGAACCCTCGTTCTTCAGAAAGCCTGGAGGGTAGGGGAAAGGTAATAAGGGAAAAGAAAACAATGTGAGAAAATGAAAAAATGGAAATAAAGTGTTTGTAAATGGGGAGGGGAGGAGGGTGTGAAGGGAGGGCAGGGACAAGGGGAAAAATGAGAACCAGGACCTGTCATGTAAAGGTGCAAGATCCCAGTAATGAATGTAACTGTACTGTATACCTAAAATGTACAAATAAACTCAATGAGAAAAAAAAAAGACAGCCTGGAGGGCTAAAAAGAAGTAACTCAGTATCTTATACAGTAGTCTTGAAATTACAAAGGAGAGGCCAATTGTGAGAAAAATGCTATGGTAAGAAACATGTTTGCTGGTATCTGACTTTTGGCTTCACATCTAAGAAACTCCCATGATTCCCATTTGTGTTTGAAATTTATTTGAAATTATTTTCATTTAGTTATTTGAAATTTTATTTATTTGAAATTTACCTAGAAATTTGGAGAGAATGTGAAGTTTGTGAATTCCAGAATATTCATTGTACATACAGCTGTGCCTTGCTTGGTTCATCGGTCTTGACTGGATTTTCCAGGTAAGCCTAGAGCTAGGAGAGACTCCTAGTAAGATTATCATCTCTAAGTCTTTCATCACACACTGAAGAGAGAAGAGGCTAAGACTTGCACAAAGTCGGAGAAGAGGAGCTGACTAGACCACGGTTTCCTGCAGCAACTGGGCTACAAGAAAAGTGGCTTCAGCTTGGGAGGAAAATGTCCCATAAGGTGTTGGCTCCATGAACACACAGGTGTTGAATACCAAAAAGGAGGAATGGAATTAAGATTAGTGTGTATATTATTACAGGGAAAAAAGGGAAAATGTTTGCCTTTGAAAGCACATGCAACTAATCCAAAATTAACAGAGAAGTTATATTTATTGGAATAAATATCACTGGCCATCAAACTTGAGGAAAAGCTTAGTTATAGTATTAATGTTACCAGTTTAGGATGAAATCTTAAAAGTTTCTTTCAGAGACATCATTGTTGTGGATTAAAATTCAATATTGAATCATAAAATGTAGAAATTCTTAAATACCTGTTTTTCTGTAGTTCATATGAGGGATACAAGGAAAATATTTCTCATCCCCAAATTTCTTTCTCCTTTGCCTCCTTGGTGTCTAAAGTGTTTGCCTTTAATTTGTGCCTTTTAAATGTCAAGCACGGTGGACAACTGAAGAGATGCTAATATCAGCTTCAACTAATTATGAGTACTCAACCACAGGGCAGAGACTGAGAAGCTGAATGTAGGGTGGATGCTTTTAATGAAAGCAATAAAAAGAATCTGATGAAGGGAATTCTGCATCATGGGGAGGACAGAGGGCAAGCAAAAGTTATTTTTTCACATGGGAATTATTTTGTTGTTGTTGTTTTTTTGATCTCACTATGTAGCTGAGACTGACCTGGAACTCACTATGTAGCCCAGGCTGGTCTCGAACTCAGCAATTCTCCCGCCTCAGCCTCCTGAGTGCTGGGATTATAGGCGTGAGCCACCACGCCCGGCTAACCTGAGAATTATTTTGAATGAGTGATATCATTGCCTATCCCATAATTTTATTCAGAGTTTGGTCTGATGATTAATAATTGGTAGAGCATTCTTTTTTGAATAGCAACATATTTATAACATTTATATGCTTTTTAAAACTATAACTATGACCTAATCTAAACTGCTCTGTTGGTTAGACAGGACAAGTGCTCATGACTCCATTCTTCTATTGACAAAGTAATTGAAGTGCAAGATTCATTTTTTTTTTTTTTTTGAGACAGAGTCTCTTTTTGTAGTTCGGGCTGACATTGAACTCACTAGTCCAGGTTGGCCTCAAACTTATGATGATCCTCCTGCCTCAGCCTCCTGAGTGTTGGGACTACAGTTGTGTTGCACCGTGCCTGGCTTAGAGGTGTAAGTTCTTACGTAACAGTCCAAACTCACAACCTGTTGAAGAGCTACCATAAGATGAGAAATTCTGTGTTTTGGTTCTGAGATTTCCTCTTTCCTTTGTATCACATAAAATTGGGAAAATAATTTGTGCGTTGGGATCAGATGACCTAGGCTGGAACTTGCCTCTTTTATTGCCAGCCGCTCGATCTGGACATGTTACTCACTGCTTTGAATCTCAGTTTTTCATCTGTGGAAAAAACAAAAAGGAATAACCCCGCCCGTTGGATCGATGTAAGTCATGTGAGCAAAGCAAGCAGCTTGATGCCTGAAACGTAGCAGATATTCATCACATGGACTTATCGCCACCTACACTGAAAGATGAAGCGATGAATTAGGGCAGCTTTGCAGTTTACTTAGCAAAGTTCTATCTCCTTAGTTCACTTTAATTCCTGAAGGAGTGTGTGTGTGTGTGTGTGTGTGTGTGTGTGTGTGGTAATGTTCTGCACATCTTAGGGTGTACTAGTGACTATCTATGTTACTGCACTGTGTGGGACCAGCCAGAGTAATCAAACAGGGAGCATCTGTCTTTTGTAGAAGCTGGAAACTGAGTCTTAGCTCTAAAACTAATTCAACTAGGTGGGTCTCAGCTCTATTCCATGGCTGAGTTCCAGAAGCATAGACATTTTGTTTTCAAAGCATCAGACTGTTATCTTGTGTTCCCAGCCTGATGACCTGGAAGATTTTGGGCAATTTCCTGTAGTAGATACAGCTATGAACTCACACAAAGTTGCATTTGTTTTTGAGAATACTTTATTTACAATTAATTGTTCATTCTTGAAATATTGTAGAATCACTTCGATTAAAATCAGTACATAAAATAATATTCACTGTTTTGTTACATATGGCACAGAATAATTTAACGCTGTATAAATGTTTCACTGATGCATAAATGGGAAAAGCACCCTTTGCTAAAAGCAGTATGATAATTTAGTTCACCTTAGCTATGGCAGCACTTTTAAAAATGACCATGAGGTGGCGCTGTGGCCATGTAGATAACATATGCTTTAAACTGAGTTTTCCCTGACTATGGCAAGGCATTTAGTTTCTTTCTTAAGTGTAGATGAACTTATTGATCAACTTAAAGTAGAGTAAGGTTGTTACTCTATTACTTTAATTTTGGCTAGGACTGAGTCCTTTGTCGTGGACTGTTTCCACTCGGGTGAGGAGTGTACTTAAAAAGCCGTAGTACTCAGGAAGTCCCCAGATTAAACAAAGGGCTCAAAAATCAATAAATTCTATATATGGACTATTGTTTTTATTATCCTTATAGAATTGTTTTAATGTCTTTCCACAAAATTAGAGCAATTTCCAGTTTATTTAAAGGATAAAACTCTGTTGCACTTTAACCTCCTTTGACAGTAATGGAAGGTCATAGGAATATTAGAACATGAATTCACATTTAAATCAACATGATACAAACATGCACACGTGTGTAAATACTGAATGTTGACTTGATCTTCTTGCATATAAATATATAAATATTGAATAAAGTGCATGGAAACCTGTCTGTACATATATACAGGTATGCATATCTATATACACTTAAGTAGATACTTATGGAGCAAAAACACCCACACTCACCCTTGTTGTATATGTCTAATCAGAAGACGTTTGTCAGGCAATATTTATTTTCATTCTGATCAAGACTGAGTGTATGGGGTAGAACTTGTAATCTTTTCTCTAATGCATAATGAAATGTGCAAAGTTATAAACTAAGGCAAAATACACGAGAGACTTTTTAACATTTATATCTTCATCCTTTTGAATGCAATTATCATTAAGGAATAATTCAGTTGAAATGCACCTTTTGGGTTAGTGGCATATTATAGATCCTAGCTTTGAAAGAGTGAACTATCTTGCAAATTATATCTGTAAGGACATAGTTAGGTTAGCCCTAATATATTTCCAAATTGCATAATGATGCTTTCTACTTTGTTACACTTTCAAAGTCTTATGGAAAAACTACATCAAATCCAAAAGAAATGCATCACCACTGTAATCATATATCTAACACCGATTCCAGTAAAAATGCATAATTTAACCTTGCATTTTATAATGTCAAGTTAGATTAACTACTTTTCACCTTTTTCTCTCTTTTTTAAACAATTTCCACAAAATATTATATTTATCTGCTTTTTTATTAGGGAGTCCAGTATCAGTAACACTAAATCGAGTGCATTTTTAGAGGGATGAAACACAATTTTTGTTCAAAACTTTGATATTTATAGCAGATCCAGATTGAGGTGCATATTAATCACAATGTTTGATCTCAAATGATATTTGCCCCCTTTCTTGCTTGCTTGGGATTCATTGGTATCCAATCAGGAAACCTTGCTGAGGAAACCACCTTCAGAGCCAAAATAAACCTGTTTCTGAACTAGGTAAGAAGTAGATTAGGTTGAATTGACTTTCAAAATAAGTCTGTTTATGTTTTTTTGAGAAAGCTCATTTCACTTTAGTCATTTTAAAAAAGATAAGGATCTTACTTTCTTATTTAATAATTTAAAAATTAACCTAAATTAAATTTAATTATTTAAATAATTTATTAAATTATTTTAATATTCCTACTGCCTAAAAATTGCCCCACCCATAAGTATGCACTTAATTGATGATTATGAAACCAAGTTAAGTAATTTTAATAAATAATATTAATGTATTGATCTAAAGGCATTAGTTTACCTGACGAATGTCAACAGGAAAGTCACCTGCTTTGTACAGAGATGTTCTAAAACTTTAAACTGTTAACAGCCAGAACCTGAGTTTATTCTTCAACCCTGACAGAGTTACATCAAAGGAGCTCATGCATGATACAGTACCTTTACAGCAAGTTACTAAATACCTCTGAGGTACTGTTTAAGAGAAGCAATTTCTACAATGTATTTGGCAATGTCAAGTTGTCCTTTCAATAGTTTATACTGAAGAACAAATATTAAACAAGACCACACTGGAAATTCAGAGTAAAGCACGAGTAGAAGAGAAAGCAGCAACAGTTGTTCAATAATGTTTAAAATCTTTTACACTTTGGATAATCAACTTGAAATGCAGCAACTGCCAGTAACCTTGTAAATATTTAAAAACAGCGTCTATGAAAAAGCAGGAATGAAAAGTGTCAAATATTTCATTTAATTATCTTAGCAATACAGATTTCATCATACTGTCTTAGTGTCTTTTTTTTCTTTCAAAATATATGTCATGGCAAATTTTAAAGAGAACTGGTCTTTATTTAAGAGGCCATTATATTAAACAGAATTTTCACTATTTACAGTTGTTTTTATTTACAGCATCAGACAACCAATGCAATTTCATGCCATCAATCAACAGAAATGGTAAGATTTCCATTTGATAATAGTTCAATAGATTTATTTAGGACCTCATTATAATTGCACATTAAAAGCTAATTATTTTTTAAAAATCATTACAATGTTAAAAGTATCACAAAGCTCATAATTTAAATGCTGTCAGAACATTTTTGAAGTGCATGTTTTGTGGCACTTAACCCTGCTTTTCACTGACAGAATACAATGAACTGTACCGACATTATTTTCAGTTCCATTAGAGCGGCCTAATTTTTTCCAATCTCCTTATTTTTACTCTCCCCAGATAGGTGAAGTCTGGTTTGGTGTGCCCTCCACAGTTGCCACGGCAACCAGTCCTTCACACACAGCTAACCTTTTCATTCATGGTGTGGATATTGTCTGTACAAGCTTCTTCTGGATGTGGTTTTTCTAGAGATACCATAGAGCAGTCGTTTTCTGTGGTCTTGGCATCTTTCTTGGAATTCTTTTTTTGTCCCATTTGGAGTTGACTAGACTTGTAAGCCAAAGTCGGTATAGTGTTCACTAATATTAACTGCAAAGGTTTTTTGTTTTCCTTGTACTGACACTGAATATACCGTGAAAAGGCCGACCTGTAGGTTTTATTGAACAGTGTGTAGACCAGGGGGTTGACGGCTGAGGAGAGGTACCCGATCCAAACAAATACATTGAGCAGGGCGCCGATGATGTTTTCATTGCACGACTCTTTGCAGATGACAGCCATGATGTTCGTGATGAAGAATGGGCACCACATTACCACAAACAGAAAGAAGACGATGCCCAGCACCTTGCAAGCTTTCTGCTCGTTGCTGATGGATTGCATAGTCCTCCTGCCAGCATAGGACCCTGGCTCCCTGTGGATTGACCTTTGGAAGAGCTTTTCTGAAGACAGGGAACTCTGAGGCAGGAAGCTAAAAGAAGACAATTTGGCCCGTGTGCTAAGATCACTAACACAAAGAGTAGCTTCTTTCTGAAGTGACTTGATAGTTAGAAAGTAGGTGATCACCATGATGGTTAAGGGAATGAAGAATGACACAAAAGAACCAATCAGGACAAAGTTGTCATCAGCGAGTAGGCAGCTCCCCTCCTTAAAGACCTTGGAATCATCCTGCAGCCCAAAGACTGGGATTGGCATGGATATACCTGAAAAGGGACAGAAAATAAAACAGTATGATTCAGGAGTTGAGCTCACAGAGGAAAGTGCATCGCTACATAATTGTGGCTGTTCCGAGGACTTTGCATCAACCTTGTTTAAAAGCTTAACATAGGCTTTCAAAAAGAATTTATATTCCCTGGGATTTATCTGTTTTACGTGTATGCAGTAGATAGCTCCTCATGTGCTCTATTACCCTAAATAATATTTTTCACTTATAAAGGATTATGATAAATCTAGCTTTCCTTTTTCATATCATATTTTTATAACTATACTACTTTACCTAGTAATTGAAAAAAAAATCGCATAAGCAAAGAAAGACAGAAATGACCAATAATACCACAATCCAAAAATAACTGCCATTAACAATTTGATGCTGTTTATTTAAAATAAACACATATACTGTGTGCACACATTGTGAAACAGAATTGAGATTGTACTTCATATATAGTTCTATAACCTTTCTCTTCACCTAACACTATATCATGAGCATAGCTTATATGTAAAAACTTTGTAAAATTATAAACATACTATATTTTCATTCTAGTAAGTTTGGAAAAAAGCAAAAATGTAACAAAAAAGCTAAAACAAGATGTATTCTCAGCAGCCAGGGTCAACCACAACTAAAATTCCTTCTTCCATTTCCATTTGAAATGCATATATGAGGTGTGATTAAAGATATGGTGAATGAGAAAATTTTAAAATTGTATTACAGTAAAAGACACATTGCCATTAAACCCACCCTGGATACTCTCCCTCACCTGGAACACATTTATCTCTTAGTTGCTGCCACTTTCAGAAGGAATTCTAAAAGTCCTCTGTGGTGTCTTTAGTCATGTTGCCGTGGCTGTCTGCTTATCCTGAATCAATTCAAAACACTTACATTTCAATAATGTTGACTTTAGGGAAGAGCCAAAAGCCATGAAGTGTGACTTATTCAGTGACTGAGGTAGCTGAGGATGCCTAATGTTTTTATGAGCCTGCCTTCCCACTCACGGCACTCATTGACTTGTCATGGCTTGTATCTAGATGTCCCCCACAAGCCTCCTGCACTCATAAGTGGGACTTTTTAAGAGGTGTCTGAATCTAGAATGTGTGACGGATTCATGGTGCAATGCTAGGATCAATGGTGCTAGGGTGGGTGACTGTTGAATCAGTCCACTGATTGCTTCTGTGCCAACTTAATCCCAGTAGTCTGGATACAATATAAGGGACAAAAAGAGGCTTGTTTTGTCTCTTGCTTGTTTTGCTACCTTCTGCCTGCCACGAACTGTTTCTCCTCTGCGATGCCTGTCTGCCACGCCACCCTGCCTTGAAGCTGGCTCATTATGGACTGAAACCTCTACAAACTCTGAGCTAAATAAACCTTTCCTCCTTTAACTTTGGGTGTCAGGTATTTCGTCTCAGCAACAAGAGAAAAGTAATTAAGACGACACTCATATAAACAGACTCCAGAACTGCCTTAGAAAATGCCAAACATGTTGGGATAAGTGTATTCAAAGTGAGGGAGAGTGCTTCGAGGGGCTTTGATGACAATGTGTCTTTTACTGTAAATGCATTTTTAAAAATTTAGACATCCTCCATATATTTTTATCTATGCAGTACTTTATGTATGCTTTTAGGTCTTTCTGTTCCATATATTAAATCATAAAGTACACATATTTTAAAATATTTTTGAAACATGTGATTTTTCTAATATTAATTTAGAGTAATTCTAACCAATTTGGATACTTTTGAAAAGATATTTTATGATGGAGATATTTTAACATATGCAAAGCCCTGCCAGGTGTGGTGGCACACGCCTGTCATCCCAGCACTCAAGAGGCTGAGGCAAGAGGATCACTGTAAGTTTGAGACTAGCCTGGGCTACATAGTGAGTTCCAGGTCAGTCTCAACTACATAGTGAGACCCTGTCGCAAACAAAACAAAACAAAACAAACAAAAGACAAAAACAAAAACATATGCAAAGCCCCCACAAAAGAACAACCAAAAAGCTCATCATATTGAACCTCTCATTTAGCTTCCACAATTATCCACTCAAGACCAATTTGTTTTACTCACACTCCCACTTGCTGCTACTCCTGCCATGTTATTTTGAAGCAAATCTCAAATGTATCACTCAATCTGTGAATATTTTGTTATACAGATCTAAATGCTATGCAGTTTTAGAAGTACCTAGCGTTGTGATACCATTGTCATTCCTAAACAGACATTTCATATTTCTCTCATATCATTACATACAGACATACTACTCAGTGTTGCATAAAATTGTCACATGTTTTTAGTTGTAGTATATTCACGAGGAAGAATTACAGAATCAAGGCAGTCACAGATTTTTCTTTTATTGACCAACCTAAGAGGTACAGGATGTGACAGTAAATGGGAGCACGATCCTATGGTTGCTGTCACTGAAGTTTGGAGGACCTGTAAAGCTTCTCCAGGCAGGCAGCTCAGGAAGATGAAGGACAGAAAAGAAAAAGGTGACACTTTGCCCACGATAATGCCAATTTCTCTCTACGCGGATAGGTCCTTATTTAAGGAGGATTCAACTGACTGTTTTGTGCATTTTTGCTCCTTTCCGAAGCTCCAGAAAGGCCAAAGAGATTGGGTCTTGTGTGTAGGCTTCATTCCCCATGGACAAAGCACAGTTTCCAAGAAGAGTGTTTTCTCTTCCAATTTTTGAACATGGAAGATACTTCCTATGTTCACCCACAGTCTCCTTAGTGATGACAATGGCTGCATCTAACACCAATGTAAGACAGCCCTAGATTTGGGTCTTGGATATGATACTGAGCTCCTGGACTGAACACTTCACCCTTGTGATGCTCACTTCTCCATCTGTAATGTGACACTAGCACTCACAGACTTGAATGAAGATGGAGGTGTGGATAAAATGGATCAAATATAAAGAGTGCCCAGAACAGTGCCTCGTTCAGAGGTAATGTTCTACCAATGTTAGGCAAACATGGAGTAGCTTTCTTTGCAGTTATTCAGATAAAATACATCAACACTATTTTATTTTCATGTATTTTGCTTAGCTTATCAACACTAGGTGCTATGTAATAGACTTTCATAAACCAAAAGAAACTAAAAAAGAGTTTTTGCTATTGCATACATAACAATGATGTAATTAGTAGCTTCTGCCAAGGTGGGATAGGGTCTCAATCAATTTTCATTTGGTACAGCTAGAACTGTTGATTCACTGTATAATGTGATGAATTACAGTCATTACTATTAGTCATTATACACATAAACAAAATATCAACTGTCCAAAAACGGTATATGATTTTTAAAAATTGAAGTCCTAGCGATTCAATTTCCTGATTTATGCAAAGGAAGTTACTACCTTGAAAACTTATGGCCCTATTTGTTTGCCACAAAGTAATTTATGAGTGGCAATTTTCCATTGAACAAAATATGTGATTACCTGGAATGTCAAATTCTTCAACTGCTTAGAATTCAGAATTGTGTCCTTGGTTAGGAAAGCACCCCTACCCCCGGACTGGTATAACTCAATTCCAGTTCCTACAGCCGTTTACACTGATGCAGTGATTCCCCCTCTTCGGTGTCTGGAATAAACAGCCATTCCAAAAGAAGAAGAATGTGATAATAGGTTATAGGCAGGGTTGTTCTGTGTCTGGAAAAGAGACTTTGATTTGAAGGGGGAGAATCAAGCTAGCAGGTCTTTAAATGACACATTCTTCTCTAGACGTAGCAAAAATATAATGGTACCGCATACCACTCTTTTTCAGGGCTTCACTCACAGTAAGTGGTCAGCAAGGGTCTGTAAAAGACTAGCCAGAAAGTAAAGCAAGATTCTATGAAGACAGGAAGAAATTTTGTCAACCAACTAGAACGTTTAGATCGGCATTGTAGGTACAATAAACAGTTCAAAACCATGCTCCTACCAAGAGATGAAGACCCTGGCTCACATCCAAGATTGTGATCACAACCAGCTCCAGGACATTAATTTTCTGGCTGCTTTGTTTGATAATAACTGCTTTTGGAGACCTGACATCTCCTCTCTTGAAATTTTTGCGTAGGAAGCATTTTCCTTTATGAACAAAGTAGCTTGAACTACGTGACTCTGCATTTTTTTTCTGAGGAGTGGAAAACAGCAATCACAGTTTGCTATCAGAATTAGATCTTCTATGCTCATTTTTATTTCTTTCTATTAAAACTCAGACAATGAAATGAAAAGGAAAAGGAAACACTGACACCAAAGAACCCAAAGGCTTTGACTGGTGCCTTTCTTTTAGCATAGCTTTGCACATACGGTTTACACCTCTAATTAATGTCTGAGTGCAGGCTGGATAAAGACCTTAACTGAACCCGGGGCTGTGGAGGATGGGCTTTATCCTTAATCCTAGATGTTTATACTTTACTGTTTTAGGACTAATGGTATTCCTGGGACTAGGTACTTTCCTTAGGGGAACCAGAAGGTTGCCTTCCTGGGTAGGAAGTGAATAGGGCAGTGAAAATCGGAAGGCCCTCTGGTGGAGAAGGAGGACAAAGGAACAGAAATAAGTATTTCAGGGATTTGCAGAAAAGACTGAATTTTGACTCATAGGTTTCAATCGCCCTGAAATTTGCTACCATTTCTTTGCATTTTAACATATGCTGATTTGTTTAAAGTTATAAGAAGGAATGTACTAACAGTTCGACAGAAAGTACTACTGGTGAATGCTGCAGGGCAACCCTCATACTGCAGGAAAAGAGGAATTGAGTAGATCAGGATGGGTGGTACGCACTACCCTTCCACCAATGCAGTGCTCATTACCTGCTAAATTCCTTCTAGCCTCTGATCTGTAGACAAAGCAGATGCACATAAAAATGAGAGCTGGATCAATATGTCAGTTGCCTAAAAGTTGTACATTTCTCCTTCAGTTAATTGTGAGTAGTTCTAAATAATACATTGCAATGTTTTACGTACATTCTTTCACATACATTCATCCAGTCTAAATTAATTTAAAAAATGATGGGCAGGTAA